TTTTTTAAATACCAGAGGTAAGATATCAAGCATTTTAGTTAACTTTATTAATCATTACTTAAAAGGAGTTAGTACACAGGCTAAGTGGCAAGAGTCAGCTGTTCCTTTGGTTACCTCTACGAACTGACACGGGCAAGGCTGTTTTACCCATGCAGTACCGGGTACCAGGGCCAGCAGCCACCCCCGACCCAGTCAGAGTCCTTAGCTACTCTTCAACCTTTCACTGTTGCTCCTTTGACCATCCGGTTGCAGCTCGTTTTCAAACAAGGACATGTTTTATTCCTACTGCACGTGGTGTGGTCTTCAGCTCCTCTCCAGAACTACAGTTTCTCTGAAGGAGTTACATTAATTAGCTTAAATGAAGCCTCAGTTTCCTTCAGGGTAAGGAAAGCCTGAACCCTTCTAGAAGTGGTACTTTAAAGCACAGGTAACAGCAGAGCAGATTAGGTTAAGTTACAAATTGTTTTTGATACAAAAACAGAAAATATCCCCTATTAGCATCAAGAAGGCATCAAAGTTTTAATACTCATTATAAAGTTGTACCAGCACTTTTACTGAAAACAATATAGATCTTGTATATATTTAGTTTTGGTTCTGTTCTTGATAAAGAGTTGTGTGACAGTTACCAACCCCCAGTTACGGTTCTGCTGACCCTCAGTACAAATCACATGCATCACAAATACATAAATAGATCTTAATGACCCAGTATAAAAAATATGTACTATACAAGAACCTCAGGTATACTAAAAATCAAATCTGTTCATGAAAATTCACACTTAATACATCTATTCTCCCTGAACGTAAAGGTGGCTACTAAGAAGTGGCAAAAGCAGTAGACAGGAGCAGGAAAGATATTGCAGAATTCTTGTCTGACTTATTGCTACACGTAGATTACATCAAGGGTAATCTGATTTTTTTATTAATCCTTGAAAGGTCAAATTGTATCAGGACTTCCAAAGTAAATAAAAAAGTAGCAATATTTACAAAAATAGCCTCATTTAAGTTAGACAAACCCTTAAAAATACAAGAAAGAAATCAGTTATTCTGTAAAAACATGAATTCAGAGCATACATTCCTGAAGCACCAGCATAACAGCCTCCTAACATTAAGGACTTCAACTACAAATAAACATACCTGCAAAATTCTCCCTCATGTGACTATAAACAAGTGTCAGAAGGTGTGCACTTGTATTTTGAACTGACATACAAAGTTTGCAGTCAGCTACAGAAGATCTCATATTTTAATCTCAAATGGCAAGAAAACAGTTTTGTGCCAGGTTCTACTTGTGTTTAGCTGATTCACACAGAGAAAGCACATACTGCAGAGGTTAGATCTAACCATAGCAATTTTTAGTAATACATTTATCTGAGGTTAAAAGGCAAGATAGTATGGCTTAAAGTTTCACTACATGGAGTAAATGCTACAACTGTGTAAAGAGGTAACAAAACCTGCCATTTTCTGCACCTGTATTAAGTGTAAACTTTCAGAACTTTAGGAAACATTACAAACTACGGTTCTTCTGTGGTGAGGTAACCAGAGGGGATTTGAGGGTTTTAGAAAACAGACTGAAAATCTATTAAACATAACAGGTTTAGAAACTTTAACATTTTTAGTGTTTGAGCCAGCAGTGTGCCCAGGCGGCCAAGAAGGCCAACAGCATCCTGGCCTGTATCAGAAACAGTGTGGCCAGCAGGACTAGGGAAGTGATCATCCCTTTGTACTCCGCACTGGTGAGGCCTCGAATCCTGTGTTCAGTTTTGTGCCCCTCACTACAAGAAGGACATTGAGCTGCTGGAGCACGTCCAGAGAAGAGTGACAAAGCTGGTGAAGGGCCTGGAGAAAAAATCTGATGGGGAGTGGCTGAGGGAGCTGGGGTTGTTTAGTCTGGAGAAAAGGAGGCTGAGGGGAGACCTGATTGCCCTCTACAACTACCTGAAAGGAGGTTGTAGCAAGGCGGGGGTTAGTCTCTTCTCCCCGGTAACTAGCAATAGAACACGAGGAAACGGTCTCAAGTTGCACCAGGGGAGGTTCAGGCTGGATATTAGGAAGAACTTCTTCACTGTAAGAGTCATTAAGCATTGGAATGGGCTCCCCAGGGAGGTGGTGGAGTCACCATCCCTGGAGGTGTTCAAAAAACGTTTAGATGTGGCGCTTCAAGACATGGTTCAGTGGGTTTAGTGGGCATGGTGGCATCAGGTATACGGTTGGACTTGATGATCTTTGAGGTCTCTTCCAACCATAATGATTCTATGATTCTCTAACAACTTTGGTGCTCAGATCTAGCAAATCACTATATTGCCTGTAATCAGCCTCATCAAAACAGATGTTCTATAATGAAAAATAGTAATTCCATTTTCAATGGTAGACTTGTAGGATCTGACATTCCACCATGAATCACAGGAACCAGAGCACTGTCCAATTCATTCAGATAGTTCTGTGGAAGAAGGTGACCTCCAGATCCAGCTACGTACTCAACCTAGAAGGAAAACATTAATGTTGATTTTAACACTTTCTTTTTGAATTAACAAGACAATGCAAAAGTGTAGTATCTGTAGGTCAAAGAGTATTTCAGCTAGCATGAACTGACAAAATAACATTTGAGCACTGGCAACTGGATGGGTTTTGAGATGACTCATGACCAATTAGCCTTGCCACTGAGAAGCATGCAACATTCCCCCTGGGCTTACAGGGCCACACAATCTGCATCCCAGACTGCTTCACTGTGATGTCCAAGAGCGATCCAATTATATCCTAGTATCACAGGTACCATTAATTTCAAAATATACTACTGAAAACTAGATGGAGGACTGTATTTCCAGCTTCTGTCAAAAAAGATAAGGAAGTGTAACACAGAACACCTTCAGAGGCAAGGAACTTAACTGTTCTACAGTTTTCTAATCTTTTGAGGGGCATCACATGCTGGATAGCCTTGCCTTCCCTCTCTTCCATCCTCGGCTGGGCAGACCTGTCCTTTTCTGCTGTACAGATTTTGGTGCAAATACCCCTTACTGATCTACATTAAGGAGCAAAGCCAGCAGAAAACTACATAATTCAAGAAAAGCATCAGAAAATTAGCTCTACAATTCTCTAAACTGGCTCACCTTGGAGGCAGATGTGTGCCAGAGTTAGAACTAAGGAAGGACCAATAGCTTACTGCAAGCAGTATTGGGGAATTTGGGCAGAATAAGGAAAGAGGACTATTCCTTTCAAGAAAAACTAGTCATTAAGACAGCTTCTTAATGAAGTTTCATCCTTAGTCCGGATCTGGGGTAGGGGAAAAAACTAAAAACATTCAGAAAGAGATCCAATGTCTTTATAAGAAAGATTTCAGTTGAAATGGAGTGTCTGCAATAGAAGCTGAAAGATTACCATATCTGAGTCAACAGAAACTCTTAGGCCTATCTTATTCATCCCATTATTTTTCAGGGTTTTAAGGTGTGGGCAAAGAGCAGTACTGCAGGCAATAGCAATCTCTTTAGCAAACTGGTGAGGAACAGGACTGGACAGTTCACGGTCCTTTAGAAAGTAGTATACCTGAAATTATAAAAAGGATAAGGACAGTCAGCAGCCTGGTTATATTACAAACTAAGGAAAACAGTAATTCAGTATACATACTATGCAGAAAAGAGAAAGCTATAATGTTTCTTTGCTGGCAAAGTATTCCAGTATTTCATCTATTCAATCAAATTACTTACGTGACCATGGGAATATCTGGATCACATATTTATAGAGTTATCACTGCTAACAGACTTAGTCTTTTTCACAGGAGAAAAAATGAAAAGCATGTAAACTTATCAAAGAGGTATGGAGAACATTCTGCCTATCAGTATGGCTATACATCAAAGTTAGTTTCTTTAGCAGTATCACTTTGTGTGATCACTTTACCATTTAACTATTCTAAAAAGTGGCAACAAGGCTCAAGAACAATGTAATTTACTAACTTCGGTACACTTCATAACTTTTCCCTCTCTTTCAAAGTCTCTGCCTTGTGGTACTTTTTCACTCTGGGTTCCTTCCATCGATTTTCCATCGACTGGGCTTAAAATTCTATGGAAGAGAATAGTACGGTTAATAAATAAAACATTTTATTATTTAGACAGAATAAGTTGTATGAAATAATGTTTAGCCATCCTTAAAGGCTATTTAAACAGCTTTACAACACAGTGTCATATAGGACTTGCATCATGAAAATACAGATGCTACAAAAAGAAATATCCTAAAGAGGGAACAAACAACACTTAGTAAAACCCTAATCTCACAGGTTTAAGAAGCTATAAACCATCTCAGGTAAAGCCACTGTTTGTTCTAATTGGTCAGAGAAGCCCCAGAAAAGGGCATACAAAGTCAACCCATGGCCTGAGAAACAACTTAAGATGAGACAAGTTTTGAGTTACTGATATAAAATTAAAGTTTGAAGCTACATAAACAATCATTCAAATCACATCCAAAAAAGATGTCTTACATCCCATTTTGCTTTGTTTAATACTGACGTTGCAAGCAGTGAATGGCCAAGGGCAGTACTATGCACTTCCAATCCCCTGCTAACAATGAAGTTTAAAGGGATTAATTGCATCCTCACACAAACTGATTACTGATTTGATAAAGGACTTTCAAAGAAAACTGAGGGTTCATACACGTTCCAGTCAACTTCCCGAACACAGAAAACGGTATAAAAATTTTCATGAACAAGCAAAGTTGTTCTGTTAGTGACATCTAGAGTACTGCAGGTAGTTTACCATTCTATCCCCTTTCAGATTTTAGTATCAAGAACTTTCTTTCAATAAAGATATGTTAGATTAATTTCAAGAAATTAAAAGGTGGATATTTGAAAACTGGGAACAAGAATTCTCTAAGATGTTTTGCTTTGGTAATACATTTACCCTTTGTTTGTTTTTTCTTCATTTTCTACCCAGCAAATATCTACATATTCTTTTATGTCTCCTGTATCCGTTTTGCCACAAGTAATTTTAAAGTCCTTCTTGTCTCTTAACGCCTGACGTAGGCTTTCCATCGTTTCTGGCGTTACTTGTACCATTAGTCCATCTAAAAGAAAACCAGTTAAAATTCCAACTTATCTACAGAAAGAGTAGCACAGCTTTTTAGTAGAATTGTGGCTTAAATTCTAGTGGTACCAACCTTCTCCTACAGCTCATTAGTAAGTGCACATCAAATAGTTCTATCCCCCAACTAGTGCATTGAATGTTACATGAAAGAGGAAGTAATGAAAACCTTTCTTGTCAACAGTACTAAAAAAATCAATCTTAAGTGTTTTTTTTGCATTTATGTGTCAATGTATGTATTTCATCAATATGGCAATGAAAATAGTTCCAGATATAGGCAGCTGTAAAGGAAAGACTTGCACTGACTACAGCAAAACGAGTTAAAGCTTAGTATGTTTTAAAACAAGTAGGTGAACTAGCATGTGTTGTTTTTTCATTTGTTTGGAGTTTTTTTGGGTGGGTTTTTTTCCATGCATTTGTTCGCAATAGGTTTTCTAAAGTTAAAAATCCTGAAAAGAAAAGGTTTAGCTTACAGAGGAATAACGATCTTGCACAAAACCACTGCTTTTTTTTTTTTCAGTTCTCTTAAGAAGCCACATAGGACAAAACTCTTACCTTCAACTATATTGGATTTAGCTAAAAATCCTGAAGATGCTTTTAAGGCTCCATTAAACACCACAAAACTTACACCTGTAACTAGAAAAAGTAGGAACAAAGTGAGTACCACTTCATATTATTCAAGTTTGTCATTACTAACATTTAACTTGCATTCCTTTTTAAAAAGGCAGGCACAAAAGGTATTACTGTACTGAAAGCACTAATAGAAATCCCTTACTAACAGGATGATATGAAACATAACTCTCCAAAGAGAAGAATTTTTTTTTCAGTCAGACTTTGGCAAAAAAGACCAGCTTTGTTAAATTATTTTGTGAGTGCATACAGTATCCTTTTAAGATACTGGCAGCAAGCTAACACAGGCAAGCCAAAAAAGCTCTGTATACAAGGAGAAGAAATGGTGTGTGTTGTGTTGTTTTTTTTTTTTTTTTTTCCCTTTGGAGTTTTTGGGTTTTTTTGTCCTTTAAAACAGATATGCCACTTAACTTTTGAATTTAATTTACAGAAGATACTCCTGAAGTTTAGATCATTTTCAGTGGTAATAAAAGCAACTGAAAAGATGACATAAATGAATTTCCATGGTACAAACCTTTGCATAAATTTGTTAGTTATACACAGTGCTTCAAACAAAAACACGCTAAGTAGCTATGCTTAATGAAGCACAGAACAACATTTCAAGTTGACACTGAAGATGGTAAGACTACAGCCCTATCCATCTGGAATTCCCCCCGACTAAGGGGCCTTGTTGAAAAGCATGACTCCTCAGCCCAGACCACTGCCGTGCTGCACTGTCTGTTAGGTTCTGATAGTAATACAGCACCTCTGCACTCTTCTCTGTACAGGTGGCTGTATCAGTTTGCTAGGTGTTGTATAGAGGTACTCACTGCTACCGTATTTCAATACACTCAGTTATTGGGACTATTTGTTTACATACGTAAATACATTACCCAATTCACACTCATATTAAATTTAGATTTTGAAATATGTAAAGAATCTGATTATGTCTGAAAAGGTAAGCTGTATTAATAACATTCTGCAAAGAAAGAGGAAAAAAGTATTAATTTCCATCTACTATAACATTTGTAAAAGGCAGTTAAGTGTTGGTATAAACCAGCAACATTTTATTTTGCATTTGAATTACTTTGTAGCTTGAATGTTGAACTGTTTGTCTTAACAACTTACTGGGAATACATGTTTTCCTTGCAGCCCAAAAATGAACTTACATTTCTGCTCTAGAAATGTGATTTTTTTCTCCACAAGCCAAACTAGACACCTTACCTTTCCTAGGATGTCCGGTAGCACTGACTGCTTGTGTGTGGTAGAGGCCATGCTTATTCTGCACACACACTAAGTGAGAATCTGCTTCAGTATTAAAACTTGCTCCAATGCTAATTACGTGTTCATTGGAAGAGTTTATCACTTTCATTACCTGTCAATATAAAATTTGTCATTAAACTGACAAATCTCACTTTGCAGTACTAATTTTAAACACAAGATATTAGAAAAATCCATCTCCCAAAACAAATCCCAAGAATTACTCACTTAGTTAATTTCAGAGAGTTCAAACAACACAGTTTGCCATGACTAGCTGCAGGAACGCTAAGCATGATCAAAAATACTAATTCAGCTGAGAGGGGTGAGTAAAGTTTGAGTTCTGCTGGACGATGTGGAATATCAGCTGTACGGACTTTGTTGGTCTTAAGGCTAAAATATGCATTAAAATTCATGCAGTTTACTATTCAGGTGTTATTTTGTTATAGCTGAAGTAAACAAATTGTAATAAAAACTACAATGGTAAGAAATATATATTTTTTTAAAGTTTTAAACAACATACCATCATCAGGAAACGTGTAAGAGATAATCCTGGAAAATACATGCTAAAAGATTTTCAAGACACTGCTGATTTTTCAGCATTTAACAGTTATCCTAAAGCTCAACTTTTCAGTCATTACTATCCACCTTCCAACGCATTCAGGAAGAAGGAAATGTGTGCTCAGATAATTTCAAGCCTTCACCCCATCACATGCTTACGTCAGTTTAAAGTTCAAAGACTCTACTGCACAACAAATAGCAAAGTAATCTTGAGAGCTGCCATCAAGTGGAGAATTCACTTGCAGAACTGCCTGGAAACTGATTACACAATAAAAACATTACAGCTTTTAAGAATCACCCCCTTTTTCTTTTTTCAAAGAGCTCATGTTAAAGATGTGACTGGTATTAAATGAAAAATAAACTTAAGCAGTTTGGATTAGGAACCTAATCAACATGGTTTAACTCACCTCATTATACTTCCTTAGGGGTATTTTAACACAGCTTCTACCCATTTCCACATGAACAAACAGGTTGTCTATGGTATGCAAAGTATACTGATAATTTCTAAGGTCCTACAAACAGACAAAGTTTTTACATTAGCAGACAATTAAGTATCATTTTCTTACCTTTTATAGTAAGTTATCACCCAGATAAAAGTACTTTACAAACATGCCTAAGACTTCTTAAGAGTAATGACATTAAGGTGACTAAAGACTTAGTGATCACTTTTTTCCTACTGTGATGTATGTGAAGGGTACCTTAATGAATATATTAACAAATTTATAGCACTGACAAGGTAGTTCAATTTACCAGTGCGTGAGACTACTTTATGCATGTTAGGATCTTAGTGTTCTAGGTAACAAAATACTTCAACATCTTCCCTTAATACAAAAGCAAAGCACAGAAGCCACCATCTAGATTAGTTTGTGTCAAGGCTCACACCCTGTCCCATACACCTCTAACTTGTTGAGTTATAACTTGAATACTGCATTGTTTCTTACAACTTTCTCTGACAGAAGTTATCATCCATCATCTCAGCCACTTCTGAAAAATTTCCCTATTCTGTTTATTCCAGAACAACAACATTAGGTATAACATGGTCTCATTTGCCTTTACTAGCTTTGCTGAAAAAAGGTGAAAAAAAGCTCGTCATCAGCTGAGCCAGGTAATCAATATCTTCCTCAATCAGTACAGCTGTAGCAAGCAGGGTATTTACCAACACATCTCGCTGCATTACAAGTTTCAATTGAACAGGCATTGTTTTAGCAGTATTAAGGATATACATCACAGATGTCCTTTGCCTCCATCATTTATCACTACCTCAGTCACTTGCATGGTATGAGAGTTTATATGATCCTTAATTGAGGATTTGCACCACAGGTAGTTAAAAACATAACATCTTACGTCAGCAGTCATCTTATGATTAAAACTCTTGCTGCATCAAGAGTTCTGCCAAGGAGCACATATTCCCACTGCCTGCTTCAAGCTGACACTACAAACACAGCTATGAAGGAGAATACAGCTGAAAATAAACTCCATTGAAGCCTCCTTCATCAACAGCATAACATTAACATTCCTCGAAGTCTGAAGATGCAATTCCACATCTGTACTGTCACTTCACCAATCAGGCAGGGAGCTGGCTCATGGAATTAAAATGTAAGATTCCTCCATCAAGAAACACAGTATTTTTCAGATGGTGCAACTCCTCTGATTGGTTCCTTATGTAATGACATGGACATCAACAGTGGCAAAAAGGAAAGAGGGGCCAAAGACTGCACTTTCATCTCAGCTGTAAAGGTCTCTAGACTCTTAGGAGAGGATTTAGTGATCACCTAAATAATACATGCAATTCTTTCCATAGCCTTACAGCACTTTTCATCATAGCATTAAGGATAAGTTCTACGTAAGTATTAGAAGAGGAAGGTTACTGGTCAGGATTACAGGCTTATTGGGAATTTAAATCAAATGATCTGGGTAACAGGGGGAAAACATCCTCAGGGAACAGCATAAATTCCAGACTTGACTTACTCTCACCATTTTGCCAAAAGCTTCTTCACACAAGACAGTCAGACTGGTTGACTGTGATAATGTTAAGTTTGTGTGACAAAGTAATTAATGTTACAGTTAGACCACAGCATCTGCCTGTCAAGTCTTTCTTCACATTTAAAAAATGTCACTTAGGACTACAATTCCTGTACCACACCAATGCTTGGAAGAGGAAAATGCAACTGAACAATGACTGCTACCAGCTTCAATGTAAATGTCAACATTTTTCCCATTCATTTAAAGCCATTTCTTACTACCAGAACTTGTAACAATATAACATGAAAGATACAGCTTTCCTAACTCACTAACACTCGTTGGTAAGAAAGTTTCAAGTCACATATGAAAGGTGTATTTACCCATTACCTTTGCCAAAAATAATTCTACTTTCCTGAACATAGTTTTGAGGACATTTTACATGATCTAATACACAACTGGAAGGGAAGAGAATAAAATATTTACTCACAACAAGCAGATTCATAATTGTGTGTCCAATCTCTCCAAAGAGTGGCTTCCGGTGCCTGAAACTCATTACAGGAGTTGGATATGCTAGGGTCAGGGAAGAAAAAAAGAAAAGGTCACATTTACCTATCAACAACTGTAAAACTTGCTAATCCAAGTATTTATTTTTGTTTTCACCTACAGCCTATCTTTCTTAATCTCAATATCTGACCAGCCAAAGGAACTAGAGCCCCTGTCCAATTCTCTGTCATAGAGTGTCCTTCAGCCCCACTGCATGGTTTCCCCACCCATGGTTAAATCCTACTGCATTGTCATTGCATGGAGTCACTCTCCTAGTGCCAGTAATTTTGTGACAGAGACTTGTTGCTGCTTTCATATGCTTTGTCAGATATGTTACTTGCAATAGGTGATCTGGATGGAAACATCCTGTGTTCAGTCTTAGGGTCACCAGCTGCAGGAGGGGTTGCAGGTTTCATAGTTGCTTGAATAAGAATACCATACAGGTTAACATATGCTTCTACGTTAATGCTATAATACAAGGTGAAGTACCACTTAGCATCAATAAGCAAGAGTGAGGATGCTCAAAGTAACATGCTTTGAAGTCCCAGGGCTGCAAATGGGAAACACGCAGATGGAAATTAGGGAAGGCAATGAGATGCAGCAGACCATAATATGAAGCCATTTGAAAACAAAGTAAGTAGCATAGCAAAGTCAGGATTGTGATGTCAAAGATACAAAACTGGTAAAATAAATAAATAAAAAACAACAACAAAAAAAACCCAAACCACCAAAACACAAGTAGTTTGGTAAGAAGGACGACAAAGAAGCTACCACCCTTGTCAAGATGCAGACAGAAGCCTGGCGACTAGAAATCCGCTACTGACTCAAGAAATCCATAAACAAGTAAGTGATACATACTTATGGACTTCCAGCTTCTAGAATGGTAGGCTTGTTTATCAAAAATGCATTCAGGTCAGGAAAGCTTTGTATGACACATTTTTGCAAATCATTCCACTTAAGCAATTGCTGCATGCTGCACCTTATAAGAACTCCTGCTCTCTAAATCATAAGCAGCAGTGCAACAGGAAACAAAACAGCACCTATATGGCTAAATTAAATGTCTGCATTATTCAAGCAAGTACACAAGCTACTCTAGAAGGTATTTAGGACAGTATCTACTTTCAGGTCTTGCTCAAGCTAACTGTATCGGTTCTTCAGGGCAATGGGAATCTGTGTAAACACTTTCCTTTGGTAAGCCTGGAGCAGAGTTAATGTAAATTTTGCTGGGAGAGCAGAAAGTGCTCACATCAGCCTGCAACAGACTGTGGAAGATAATTCCCACATGGAGATTGTGTCACTGCACAACCTCTGGTGGTGCATATTTACATGCTCTCCGTCCACCTCACTTTGAAAGAATGTCTCCTGCATCTTTACAGGCCTAGAGATTTCAAATGTATTAATTAGTAAGTTATCCTTAAAAGTAATGAATACCTTTATTTTATGAAGCAGTAATATTTTGCCAATATACTCAATTTCAGTAATTTAATTAGAAAAAACAATTTGTTAGAGTTGTAAGTTGAACTCGTGAACTTCCCTTCAAGCCTTTCTCCTATGACAAAAGTCAGACATTTTGATACTTTACGACTGTCAGTTTTGGTTTCTTAGCTTTCATCAGCTAAGAGAAACAAAAATAATCAAGGGACTGTAGCAGGACAACGTAAAATCTCAAATGTCTCAATAGGTGGCTTCCCATGTATGAAATATCAGTCTTACACAAGTGTAACAAAATATCACAAAGATGATTTTAAATATTTTGCTTGTCTAAAAAAACCCCTTTATTTTCCAAAGGCAACTTTACATTTATACAGCTATTTAAAGTGTTAACACCTACCCCCATATTCTGCTCCCAATCTCAACATTAAACGCATTGGAAAAACTTTCGCCCAGGGTATTTCCAGCTTATGGATGAGAATGCCACAAAGAAAAGGGTTATCTGGTAGAATCTGATCATCAAATTTCTGAAAAGTTGGTGAAACAAACAGGAATCCTCCATGCTCTTTGTTATTGAGAAAGTTTTCAGTAAAAGTAATGTTTTCCATGTTTCTTATTAACCTTCCTGTAGAAAGAGGGACAGAGAGTCTTTGCACATCTGGAGAAGTAACATATCAGTGTCAAGAAAACTATCTTAACCAGTGGTCTCTTATAGACTTGCAAGCCATAGGGTACATCTCACACCTTCCTGAAAGTCTGACAAACATCTAAGCCCATAGACAAAGTGCTCTATACTTACTAACAAAATGAACTCGAATACGAAACTAGATTTTTCCAAACAAATGCCAGAAACCCTGAAGTGTATAATGTTTTGGCACATACCCACTGATGAACTTCAATTAACATACCTCAAGTATTTACATATGTAAGAGAATTGGACTTCTACAAATGAAGTTCCAGATGTCCTAAACCATAGACTCAAGGACTTATACCCAGAATCTCAAACACAGTATGACTAAATAACAACAAAAAAACCTGCAAACAGGATGATTATAGAAATGTGTAAAACAAAGAAACTTAAATTCTTTTTTTCCTGTTATTTATTTAGAATCCAAGGCTAACACTGCAAGGTTTCTCAACAGAATCATTAGATACTTAGAAATACTTCAAGGAAAATTACATATCAACTTCCAGTTTTAAAGATCAGCAAAAAACAGGAAGATATAAAATAAGAAGTTAGACATTAAAATGACGTACCTTTCATTGCATCCTTATAGATGTCAATAAATAATTTGAATATTTCACTAGGAAAAATCTCTTCACCTGGCAAACATTGCAACAGAATGACAATTTCTGCCTGACCCAAACCATGTAGTCCATTTGTTGAGAAGTACCAGCACTTTTCTGAAGAATCTTTAAAGAGATAGACATCACAGTAATGCTGTTTTACAGTCAGAAAAAGAAAGCTGGATTTAACAGAAAAGAAAATGTGCACTACTTACAAGTTATTAGCTTGACATTCACAAGCAAGTTTGCATTTAGGATAAAAGTTAATGGGTTAGGACTTCTTTCCACAAGCAGCAAGGTGACCTGTTGGTGAGATGGACGTTCTTCCACTAGAGGATCTAAACAAATCAACACTTCATTTAGTTCAACATGTCAGCCAGCTACCTAAAACAAGACTTACAGATCACAGCATATGAAAGACTGTCCCATCCTCCTATCTTCAGAGGGTGGTAATTATTCTCAAACTTAGAACAGCTACAGATCAACCAATGAATAGCTTACCCAAAGATCCAAGGAACTCATAAAAAGAAAGCAGTAACTTGTAACAAACGTGCAAACTAGGGCTACCATTCATTTGGTAATTACTGACTAGTTGTGTATGTTGTCTCCTCATCCATACACTGGTACTGTTAGGTACCATTAATGAGCACAGTCACTACTATAATGCATTTAAGTGATGAAGTATTCTTTTCAGAACATACTGATCTTGTTAATAATGCATGTTCAATTATCCCACAATCCAATGTGCAGCAAATAAGTGAGATTAGAATTGTATTAACTATAAATTATATACACACAAGTTCGCATTTAGAAATCTTGCATCAGATGATTAAATATTAACAATTTTCTCAAATTTTACCTTTTCCTTTTTCACCCACTGCAAGCAAAAGTGGTGGCAGTTTATCACCATCAGGAACAAGGCTGATCTCTTTACGAACACAGTTTTCAACATCACATAGTGCTCTGTAACTTGAAGGACTAACAGGCATATCACTTGTAGTCTGATCAACTGAACTGCTACTAGTCTTTTCAGCTTCTGCAGTAGGAGGACACTCTTTAGCTTCTAGAGTTACAGATTTACAACTATGTACCACCTCACTCTGGCCTGGAACAGCCTGCTGTGCATCATCTGAAGAAAAAGGAGGACATAATTCCTCCTTTCTTGTAATAGTATCAATTTCTTCTTTAGGTTTTGGATTTACATCAGTTAATATGCCATCTTCCTCTGGGTTTGCAGCCTGTGAAGAAGAAATAAAAAAAAAATTTACACTCTTGTCTCACAATAAGGTGAGCTGTCATTACTAGCACTCTACAAGCAAAAAGAGAAAGAAATCTATCACGGATACTGAGAATGCATTTCCTCTAAATAAGAAGAAAGCCATCAAATCTCCCCTGGATCTTCCTTCTGCTGCACCCCCCACCACCCCGCCCCATCTTTAGGAGTTACATTAGGTGAAGATGCATCATTAATTTATTGTTCAGTAACACAAAATTCATATCAGAGCGCTGCAGATTAGCTGTTTTAGCATACAACATCTAGATGTAACACAACCAAAAGTAAACCAAGTACCCTCCGGGAATCTGTTTATTATTGCTGTTTCCCTGCTCATAGCTACTGAACATTGTCAATGAAATTTGCCATCATTTCAATCAGCAGTTCATGAATACAAACATATTTCTATTTCTACATTATGTACTAATAGCTGAGTCTAGCATTTTACAGTCTGATTAATTTCTAGTTTGGAGTCACACCTCTGCTGCTCCCCCACTGAAATGGATATAACAAGCTGTGAGCATAGGCACATTAGGATATAAGCTGTTGTCAAAATCAAACAAATTAAGAGGTGCTCTATCATCTTCCAAATATGTTAGACTTGCATTTTATCTCAGTAGGGAAGACTTTGCATTGCAACAAGAAAAAAACCCTATCAACTCTATTCTTGCCCTCTAATAGTTCTCCTGGTATGCCATCAGCTTCGAGCAAATCCTCTGTTTAGAGAACACATGTGCCAGAAAAAAAGGGGGAAAAAAAAAAAAAGACACCAACCCCCAAAATAACAGCCCACAAACACACAAACAAAAACATGGCTAAACTAGCCTCTAATGGACTTCTTCCCCATGAATTTGCTTGCTGGTGTTTCATATCGCTTTATACCTTTGACCTTCATAGCATCCTGTGGCAGCATGTTCCAGATTATGTGTTACCTAGTAAGGTGTATCCTTTGCTTTAAAGCTGCAGTATGGTGGTTTTGTTTGAGTTTAAAGCTGTGTACAAGAACCATCACCTAATTGTTTCCCACTCACTTTGTCCATGCTGCTTTTAGTTTTAGACATTGGTTATGTTTTGCAAGCGAAAATATCCTACTCTT